TGGGAATACTTCTCAATTTTAAGAATCAATAAAATGGTTTATGCAAAATGTGGACGTGGAATAGTGCGCTGCATTCAGCCATCAATTTAATAGATTTCAAATGCAACAGGAAAAGGGTAAAAACATTTAAAGGAAAAGAAAAAGAAAAACAGAAGCTTGTTTGCTGTCAGGAAACTCAGAAGGCAGAATAGGTGGCTGGATGTGTTCTTAGGAAAGACAAAAGAGAGACTAGATCAGAGCCAAGAGGGACACAAAGACTGAAAACTCCCAATAACCTCAGTGCGAGGAATTTAAAAAAAAAAATAGACAATTCATGTTTTAAAAATTAGTATTCAAAAGCCCTTTTAGAGACACACATTGCTCCCTTGCCATTCTCCAGCCACCCAGTTCTCCTGTCCACAGACTGACATCATCAGACCTTTGCCTTCTATCTTTATTTTGGGTGTGGATGTTTGGTCTGCATGTATGTCTATGCAGTCCATGGAGGCAGCACTGGATCCCCCGGGACTGGAGTTACAGACAGTTGTGAGATGCCATGTGGGTTCTGGGAATTGAACCCGGGTCCTTTGGAGGAACAGTCAGTTCTCTTAATGTAGCTCTCTAATCCCATTATCAGACTTTTTTTAATCTAATAATTTTTTAAATAATGTGACATTATGCACAGAAACACACAATGGCTTACATCTTGCTCTTTCTTACTACAACCTATCTTGAAATTCGTGTCCTCAACAAATGGAGCCTTCTCTTTTGTGACAGCAGCATACTATCCCACTGTACAGATACATCATAACTTATTTTACCTCTGCTACAGGAGCACTTACGTTGCTGGATGTAGTGGTGCATACTGGGAATCGATGCACTTACCCAGCTATGGCAGGAGGATTATGGGCTTGAGGCCAGGCTGGGCCACATAATAAGACCTGTCTCAAATAAATGACCAACAACAACAACAACAACAACAACAACAAACAACAACAAAAAAGACACACTTGAGCTGTTTCTGATAGTCCACTGTGAAAACCTAGGATACATAATCATTTAATGTGTGGACAAACATACCTGTAAAAGTAAATTCTCAGAGGCTGCATTGCTAAGTCAAAGGATGCATGCATCTGTAACTGTAGCATGCAGAAGAGCTGGAGTTATGCTACACAGAGGACAATGCTCCTCCCAGAAGCCAGAAGCTGCCAAATGAAAAAGTCCAGTGGCACATATAGGTTACCTCCCTTCAAGTGGTTGGTCAGTGTGACACAGAGACCCCCAAATAATAAAGACTATGGTCACTGCTCTTGGTTACACACCAGAACTTAATGGTATGATCCTACTGCTGAAGACACTACACATTCCTGTGGTCACAGGAATGGAGAAATCAAGTTGGTACCCAGCCTTCCTGCAGGCTAGCTTTCGTCCTCTTGAAGATGCTATGAGGCTGCTGAGGACTCAGCTGTGAGTCCTGTTGACTACAATGACTGGTGGGATAAACTGTGCACATGGGTGGTGCAATAGTTACCAGGAATGATGTGGAGGTGGCCAACTGATTTCCGGTTGGATTTAAGGTCCACAACACAGGGAGAAATGCATGCCTAGTAAATCTGGCCAAGAACCCATGAATAGGGAGGGAGCTTACAGACTCCAAGAGTGAACCTACTGCCATGATTTTGATAAATCGACATAATATTAAACTGCACTCTGCATTTGCATATCTATACCCATATATCAGTGCAGCTGTCAGACTTCATCAGAGAGGCTTCTTGGTGTAGTTAATGCAGAAACTCACACTTGGCCAAGTGCAGAGAAAAAACCCTGTGGAGAGTGTGCAGCCACAAATGGGGATCTATATCACCCGCCCCGTGTACAAGGATCACAGACCATGGTAGAAGACGAGGCAAAAAAGACTGCAGAAGCCAGAGGTCAGGGAGGAAAGGAATGAAGTAGATTCTTCTGGACATGCCAGGCCTACTACACTCACAAACTCACAGCGGCTGTAGTAGTTTGTACAAGATCAAGTCAGTCAATAGTCTAGTACTCGTGGGGGAGGGGCTCACTAGCCCCCAGCCCCGGCTGAGGAGCTACTGACCAGTGATGGCTTCTGAGGGAGAGTGAGTCAGCTTTCTTTGAGTGTGTGGCCCCTGGTAGGTCACCCACACTCTAGTGGATGGCCCGATAGCCACGAGTAAATGAACAGCATAAACTGGACTTGGTGGATTATTAGAAAAGAAAAGAAGAAAACAGAACATGAAGTTGGAAGGGGCCAGGGAGGGTAAATCTAGGAGGGAATAAAAGGAGGGGCAGGGTAGAGGGTAAAGATGATCAAAATACATTGTACAGCATTCTCAAAGAATTGATAAAAATATTACATAAAATGTAAAAGTAAAAATTAGGATGAAGAGCCAGATCTCTTACTCTCACTGAACGTGTTCTCTAAGTTCCTGCCTTAGCTTCCCTTCATGATGGACTGTAACCTGTAAGCCAAATAATCCCCCTTCCTCCCCAAGTGACTTTTGGTCATGATGTCTTATCATAGCAACACAAAGCAAACTAGGACATGCCATAGCTCTCAAAATTCCAACAGAGGCCTACCAAATCTGGTGTGAGCACAAAAGGAAACACTGGCCCTAGAGCCTCCTTTGGGAAGGCTGCAGATACAGCACCTGCCAGTCAAACAGGTAGACTGTAGAGTTCAAGAAGGTAAAGGTATGGAGGGTGAAGAAGGGCAGGGCTGTGAGAGTGTTCAGCTGGAACCTCCAGCTCACTCCTGCTTGATCCAGAAAGCCCCATTCCTCT